TGTTAACTGATAAAGTTCTTCCCAATATTCTTATTTTGACCCTCTAACACCAATATCTCTAGGACATTATAATTACTGTTCAGACAAAAGACATGCATGTGATATTTTCCTTTTTCTATTTTTTTTTAAAGATTTTATTTATTTATTTGACAGAGACAGAGAATGAGAGAGTGAGCACAAGCAGGGAAAGGAGCAGGCAGAGGGAGGGGGAGAAGCAGGTTCCCTGCTCCGTGGGGCTTGATCCCAGGACCCTGGGATCATGACTTGAGCCAAAGGAGACACTTAACCAACTAAGCCACTCAGGTACCCCAACACGTAAGATTTTCTTATTATTAATCTGAATCTTAAATCCAGGTATTTCTAGGTTACCTCAAGTTACTGCAAATAAAACACAAAATAATTGTAAACTACATAAATTCTGTACTTGTATTTTTCTCTAAACCAAAACCAATCTAATTATAATTATTCTTACACACAACAAAATTTTTGTTACATGTTAAACGTGGCTTCTTTAGTGGTAAGATTTAACTTGGCCTCCCATTCATAAGCATTAAGATTTATCTTACAGACTAAATACATGAGTACTTTTCTGAAGAAAAAAATAACAAAAAGATTATTCAGTGTGAAAAATGAAATTAAAAACACAGTATGACTTAAGATCACTCTAAAAAAATACTTAGATATATACATTTAACAAAATATGTACAGGATCTGTACATTGCAAGTTACAAAACACTGATTAAAGAAATCAAAGACCTTTTTTATTTATTTTATTTTTATTTATTTATGATAGTCACACAGAGAGAGAGAGAAAGAGGCAGAGACATAGGCAGAGGGAGAAGCAGGCTCCATGCACCGGGAGCCCGACATGGGATTTGATCCCGGGTCTCCAGGATCGCGCCCTGGGACAAAGGCAGGCGCCAAACCGCTGCACCACCCAGGGATCCCCTTTTTTTTTTTTTTTTTTAAATCAAAGACTTAAACAAATGGGGAGGCATACTGTGTTCATGGATCAGAAGACTCAGCATAATAGAGATTTCACGTCTCCCCAAACTGACCTTTATCACAATTCCTTTCCTACCAAAATATCAGCAAGGCTTTGTGTAGACATAGACAAGTTTATTTTAAAAATATATGAAAAAATAAAAAATAAAAAAAATAAATTTATATGAAAAGGCACAGGCCAGGGGATCCCTGGGTGGCTCAGCAGTTTGCCGCCTATCTTCGGCCCAGGGTGTGGTCCTTGAGTCCCAGGATCAAGTCCCGCATCAGGCTCCTTGCATGGAGCCTACTTCTCTCTCTGCCTGTGTCTCTGCCTTTCTCTCTCTCTCTCTCTCCCTCTCTCTCTCTCATGAATAAATAAATAAAATCTTTAAAAAAAGAAAGAAAAAAGGCACATGCCAGAGAATATCAAAACAATATTGAAAGAGAAGAATAAAGTGCAGAGCAATCACTCCACTCCCCGTTAAGACTTTTTACAAGGGCACCTGGCTGGCTCAGTAGGTTAAGCATCTGCGTTGGCTCAGGTCATCATCCCAGGGTCAACCCCACATCAGGCTCCCTGCTCAGCAAGGGAGCCTGCTTCTCCCTCTCTCCCCTGCTCATTCTCTCTCACTCTCTCTCTCTCAAATAAAATCTTTCTTAAAAAAAGACTTTTTACAGAGCTAAGAAATCAAGAGAATATAGCAATGGCAGAGGAATAAACATATAGATCAATGGAACAGATTAGAGAACCCAGAAATATACCCACCCAAGTACAGCTAACTGTCCTATTTTTAAAGGTGCAAAAGCAATTCAGTGAAGGAGGCAAAGCCTTTCAAAACACAGTTGGAACAATGGTATATCCAAAGACAAAACAAATCAACCTCAACCAAAGCTTCATACATTACATGAATATTAACTCAAAATAGATCACAGTCTTAAATGTAAAACATAAAATCATAAAAGTTTTTAAAAATAACACAGGAGAAAAATCTTTGAAACTTATGGCTTGATGACTAGTTCTTAGAATGACACCAAAAACACAATACACAGGAGAAAACAGAAAACCAATAAATTTGATATCACCAAAAGTAAAAATGTTTGCTCTCTGACATACCCTGTGAAGGGGAAAATAAGGCATGGACTGAGCAAGCACATTTGCAGACCACACATGTGGTAAAGCATTTAAAATACAAAAATAAGTCCCAAAACACAATAGTAAAAAAAGCAAACAATCCAGTTAGAACATCGGCAAAAGACAGGAACCGTCTTTACACCAAAAAGGATGACAAATAAGCACAAGAAAAGATCATTAAACATTAGGGAAATGCAAATTAAAAATCAATGAGCTGTCACTATACACTTCTCAGAATGGCTAAAATAAAAAACAGTGACCAAACCATGCACTGGCAGGGATGCAGAGGAACATAAAATGGCACACTCTGAAAAGCAATTTGGTGGTTCCCTATAAAACTAAACAGACAATTATGATACAACCCAGAAAATTGTAATTCTAGGCATTTGTCCCAGGAAAATGAAAACTCTTGTTCACACTAAAACCTATACAAGAATGTTTGTAGCAGTTTTATTCAAAATAGTGAAAAAGGGGAAGTTTTGAAATGCCAAAATTTTAAAAATGAATTACAAACTAGGGGTTGCCCAAAGTTATAGATGAGCTGCGGGAACAGTATGTAGGGAAGTGGGTGTGGTTGTAAAGGAGCAGCAGGAGGGATCCTTGTGACAACAGAAGCACTCAGTATGTTAACTGTGGCATAAAGAAAAAAGGTATCGAATTAAACACACACAAAGAAGTAAACACTAAAACTGAGGAAATCTGAGTAGACAGGTAGATCGTATCAATGTCAATTCCCTGGTTGTAATATTGTACTACAGGTTTCTAAGACCACTGGGAGAAAGTGGGTGTCGGGTAAAGGGTACATAGGATCTCTCTGCTTCATAATTATCTCAATAAAAATTTCAACTAAAAGTGAAAAATCATTCTGTACAGATGCACATTCTCATGGAAGAATCCTGTAATAATAATAAGAGCAGTTTTAAGAAAGCACTAGTGGAAGTAGGACTATCAGAAAACAATCTAAAAGTGGAAAGTCTCATGAAAGTCTCCCTTCATATTTCTGAGGTTTTAATATTGATCACAGAAAAGATATTAACTCAAAAAAAAAGAAAAGAAAAGAAAAAGACATTAACTCAAGACATACCCAAAGTTCCAAGAACTCACTTTTCCAAAAGAACACATCCATTGGCCAATAAGGATTAATTTTTGCTAAAGCTTTATTCTAAATTGTGTTATTTCTAAAAGACTATTCTAATGTTGTGATTGGAAAAAAAAATTGTAATAGATTTAACCATCTGTTAAAAAGAAGGAAATCCATTATTGTGTTTTATCATTCATCCATCCATCCAACAAATTTCTCACAATACTTTCTATATACAAGAACTGGGCTGAGGAAAGGTGACTCCAACACCATGACCTCCCCCATCACCTGTCCTTCAGCCTGCTCTCAAGATCTTACCTAGTAGGGAAAATTAGATAAACATAAATGGACATCCAGTTTTACCGAGACCATGACACAGCTACTGATTAGATTTTAATACAATTAAGTCTAACATTTTTTGGATTTCTCTGCATATGACTGAGCATTGTGACAAAGGTTATGAAAATATTAGAAATTTCGGTTTTATTTTCATAGTGGTTACCATCTAGTAACTAAGCATTTTTAAAAACTACAAAAATGCAAATAATGAACAATGAAGTTTAGACAGTTGACCCTTGACACAGGATTAGAGATCTGACGCCACCCACCCCATGCAGTTGAAATCTGCACATAACTTGACTCCCCAAAACTACTAGTAACCTACTGTTGACCAGAAGCCTTATCAATAACAAGCAATTAACACATATTTTGCATATGCATTCCATACTGTATTTACAATAAAGGTAGAGAAAAAAAATTTATTAAGAAAATCATAAAGAAGAGAAAATACACTTAATAGTACTTACACATCCCATGTATAAGTGGACCGATGCAGTTCAAACCTATATTGCTCAAAGGTCAACCCTATACATGCTTTTTTCTAGACCACCCCAGAAACAAATCCAGATAGAACAAAAATGCAGGGATCCCTGGGTGGCTCAGCGGTTCAGCGCCTGCCTTTGGCCCAGGGAGTGATCCTGGAGTCCCGGGATCAAGTCCCGCATCATACTCCCAGCATGGAGCCTGCTTCTCCCTCTGCCTGTGTCTCTGCGTGTCTCTGCCTCTCTCTCTCTCTCTCTCTCTCTATCACGAATAAATAAAATCTTAAAAAAAAAAAGGAACAAAAATGCAGATCTTAAAAACAAGCTTCATAAGGGCAAAAAGACATTGGCTGTCTCTCCAAATCATTTTTCAGTTACATGTAATCGGTACCACCCCCCAACATATCCAAAACACTTTACAATTTGTAGCATATGGGTAATTACAAAATTCCCTTTTATTATTCCTTTCAAATCAAATGAAGGGACTTTTAGAATAGTTAAGCTGACATCTCTTGATTCTCTTGGAAAACAAAGCAGAACATGTGAGCTATATAAACTGAATTAAAATTATATATTCTTGGGACACCTGAATGGCTCAGCAGTTGAGTGTCTATCTTTGGCTCAGACCATGATCCCAGAGTCCCAAGATTTAGTCCCACGTCGGGCTCTCCAGAGGAAACCTGCTTCTCCCACTCCCTGTGTCTCTGTCTCTCCGTGTTTCTCATGAATAAATAAATAAAATCTTTTTAAAAAATTATATATTCTTTCTCAAAACTTTACCCTCCAACTATTAAAGTGATTCTTTCATGTCAGCCACTATGTATTAACTCAGAAACTGTGATTTTATATACACAAAAGATTTTCCCTTTTAGCTATAAAGTTATTACTAAATGTCTTACTATTAAAAAAAAGTTCAATATGTTCACTCATCTTCATAATGATGTTCAACATCTTCATAAAGTCAAATACAAATTGAACTTACCACTTTTTTAAAATCATCTTCTGCTTCATCAAGTTTTCCTTGTTTGAGTAATAAGTGACCTCTCTGTAATCTTGCCTAGGAAAAAAAAAAAGGTGTTCTGAGTACCATGCATTTCCAAATTTTCTTTAAACACAAAAAACAAAACCAAATATGCTAATGAAGCATTAATGAAATATTTATTTTTCCAATGCCCATTTGACTTGGCACTTTGAGAACAATTCCTGGAACCAATGAATGTGTGTAATTTTTATTATTAACTTTTACATAACCATACTTCCTTAAAAATAGTTTTTGTGCTATACCCCCCAAAATTCAAAATATGTGTCGACACAAAATCTTGTACATGAAAGTTCATACCAATAGCTATAAAGTGGCAACAACCCAAACTCCCATCAACTAAAAAATCAATAGGCAAATGTGATATATCCATTAAGTAGAATATTATCCAACCATAAAAAGAAATGAAGTGCTGATGCAAGTTACAACACGGATAGACTTGAAAACATGCAAAGTGAAAGAAGTCACACAAAAAGCCACATACTGTATGATTTCATTTATATAGAATGTCCAAATAAGCAAATCCATATAGACAGAAAGATAAATGGTTGCCAGAGGCCAGGGCATAAATGGGGAGGGATGGCTACTAGGTACTAGATTTCCTTTGGAGGCAACAAAAATGTTCTGGACCTAGACAATGGTGATGCTTGCAGAACCTTGTGAATATACTAAACACCACTGAATTATACAATTTAAAAAAGGATGATTTGATGTTATATCTCAATTTAATTTTTTTTTTTGCCATTGTAATAATTTTTTGTCACCACAAAAAAAAAAGTTATATAATTTGGGACTTTACCAATCAAAATTCTAGGAATAATTATGTTTTTATTAATTCTCAGTAGAAATATTCACTCTACTATAACCAAAGAACAACACTTCTTCCTTTCCACATGCATCATTTCCCCCACTCTGTCTGATATTCCTCTTATGTGCATAATCCCATCTCTTCCAAGAATACCAACTTTCTGATGACCAATGTGACCATAAGACAGAAACCACATTGACAGTCCGTTAAAACTTATATATTACTTTTACAATACATAAAAAAGGCCCTAATCCTCTGTTAAGTGCATCAATACACACAAAAAGCAAGATAAAAGCCACTTAAACTACCTAATAGCTATTATAATACTAGGAAAATAAACTACTTACCCTTTGTGAAAGGTTGTGCTTAGCTAGGTAGAGTAAGAGACTAAAGAAAAAAATCTGACATTTGGGAATTCCATCCTAAAATGAGGGTAATATTTCAAACCAAACATTCACCCCTACCTAATCAGTTATCTCAAGTTCTTTTTGGAATACAGTAAGGTATAAACAATAAATGAGTTACCAAACTAATTTTGAAACCATCTAACTTATTCTATTATTTTAAGCCATTACATTGGCCTGCCGATCATCAGGACATCCCATTAGACTGTAAATTCCTCCATTTCTGGAGGCTTGTGTGTTGGCTGCAGGGAAGGATCAGTCTAATTCCTGACTATGTCCTCTCCACAAACCATTGCTTACCTAACCTATCTCCTTTTCTTTATTCTTTCTGCTACAGCCTTTCTGCTACAGTTGTCAGTCACTTGACAGTCTTTTAATTCAACAGCTTCATGATCAACTGGTTACTCAGACTCACATCCTATCCTACACTCCACCCTCCAGAAGTCTTTCTAAACCACAAAGCTAACACCATTGCCAAGCTTCTAAAACTCAGCAGCTATACCCATTGTTCGTCTTGCACAAAGACCCTTGATTCCAAGGACTTTGGATTTTTTCTTGTTGCCCAGGCCACTACACCACAGCAGTCTTCTACATCTCCAGCTACGCCTAGCAGACCAATCCTCACCTTAAAAAAGCGAAATTACCTCTTCCAAATTCCCATATATTCTCCTTTAAAGAAAGTTCAGACCCACTTACTGCAGTGAAATCCATCTTCAATTCAATCACTTTAGTTAAATCAGGAAGTGCTGCTTTTGATTTGCCCATAGCTAAAAAGACAGTAGCTCTCCGATAGTAAGCAATATAGTTATCTGGGTCACCATCTGAAAATTAAAATAATAAATATTAGCTCTTGGTAATTTATTCAAAAACCCAAAATCTGAACAGTACGAGAGTTTGCAATTCTCCTAAAACAAGAAGCACCTATGTCGCTCAGTGGGTTAAGCACCCGACTTGGTTTCAGCTCAGGTCATGATCTCAGGGTTATGAGATTGAGCTCCATGTTGGGCTCTGCACTCAGCAGAGTCCCTGAAATTCTCTCCCTTCTCCCTCTCTCTCCTTCTGCTTGCTCTTTCTCATGCATGTGCAAGCACTCTCTAAATAAATAAATAATTCTTCATCAATAAAGAGTTCTGTTGACTAGCAAGATCACTGCAAATAAAACCAGAACAGGATTGACAAAGTAGAATCTCTGAGCCAAACCAACCCACAGGCTTCAAGTCAAGAATATCTTATATTTTTAAAGAGCTATCAAAAAATAAAAATGAAAATATATGTACAGAGAGACTATATGGCTGCAAAGCTTAAATATTCATTATCTGGCTCTTTCAAGAAAAAGTTTGCCAACCTCTGGGTTAAGATATTAACTATATTCAACTCATAACTTTTATAAGTATGCAACTCAATCTTTGTCTTCACGGAAATTTCCTTAAGTAAAATACTGAGAATGTGACTATGCCTTATTTATAGGATTTTAGAAAATCATTATAGACTTCTAATTAAACTGGTATATTAAATGCGCAATCTCTGCTTCCTTACAAAGTCCAACTAAAATGGCAATGAAAAAATAAAGGTACAATCTTAGGACAAAGGAGGAGAATGGAAATGAGAGCAAGACTATTTAAGTTAACAATATCTGAAAGAAGGAAAATGGATGCGTTAGGTTCTGAGCTAATTCTACTCTAAAATTAGAAGTAAACCTCAGGCTTCAGTCCTTCTAGAAGGCTATTTTGAAATATATATGTTCTTGATCAAATACAGCCATGTGTCTTAAACAAATAAATATTTATTTATGCACACAGTTGTTCCAACATTATAAGATTTACAACTAAAACTCCCTGGCTGGGGGTGGGGGGGTGGGGGGGGGCGGCGGGATACGAGTGGCTCAGTTGGTTAGGTGTCTGCTTTCGGTTCACCTCAAGATCTCAGGGTTCTGGGATGGAGCCCTGCATCTGGCTCCCTGCCCAGCAGGGGTGTCTACTGCTCCCTCTCTCCACTCATCCTCTCTCCATCTCTCATTCATTCATTCATTCAATCATAAATGAATAAATAATAAAACTCTCTGAAAGTTCTATCCCTAAAGATCTTATCATTTGAAAAACAAGATAAATGGAAATTGTATGGCAGATAGTATATAATCATTCAAAACCATGGTTTCGAGCAGTCATTAATGGCATTAAACTACCTGAAGTACTTCTGGGCAAAGGTAGAGCAGGAGGAGAAAGTAGGCTCTAAAACCATTTATGAAAGAAGATATACAAATGGCCAAAAGCATACAAAAAGATGCTTACCATCATTAACGATTCATTAGGGAAATGCAAATCAAAACCACACTGAGATACCACTTCATATCCATTAGAATGGCTATTATAAAAAAGAAATGAAAGAAAGAGGAAGGAGGGAAATGAGAAAGAAAAATGGGGAACATTGCTTAATAGGTACAGAGTTTCAGTTTGGGATGATGAAAAAACTCTGGAGATGGATGGTTATGCAACAGGTTATGCAACAATGTGAATGCACTTAATGTCACTAACTTCATACACTTACAAATGGTCAAAATGGTAAATTTTGTAATATGCATTCTATTGTACTACATATTTTATTGTAGTTAAATTTTTAAAAAACGAAGAGAACTGGGAATTTTAACAATAAAAATAAACTTAATTTTTCTCAAATCTAAAACAAAAACCAAAAACAATCCATATATCCCAGCTAAGCATCACTGAAATTTCTTTCCTGGCCCATTTGTCTTAGAAGATAAGGGAAAAAGAACATGGTCAACAGCCTGTATATATGATATTTCCTACAAAAAACTGTAATTAGCCTGAAGAAAAAGTAAACAGAGTAACTATATTTAGAGCACACATGATATAGAATATTTTTAGGTTCAGTTCATATTCAATTTAGAATATGCAATAAATTAAATATGTGGATCTGATCAGCATAGTTGGCTGTAAGAATGATTTGATACCTGAGGATTTCTGATGCTTAAGTGACCTCCTCTGAAAGTAAAAGGAAATTTACCACAGGTCAACAGAAGTCATCTGGGCAGACAGATGGGGTTTTGTTTATACTGTATATACATATCCCAAAAAGTGTCACAATGAACAGGGAGTATTTCTACATTCATTAATCAGAGAAAAAAAAAAAAACCTCATGTTTTCCATGACTTATTTACACTAAGCAAAAAATAAATACTAGATATAACACAATTTAAGGCCTGGAATATAAATCACACACTATCATCTTCATATGTCCAAATCCTATTTGATCTCAGAAGCACAGCTCAAATGACTTATTTGATTATACGTGTGAAAATATACCTTCCATTCCCTCCATTTCCATAGCATTTTTTTTTTTTATTTACGATAGTCAGAGAGAGAGAGAGAGAGAGAGAGAGAGAGAGAGAGAGGCAGAGACACAGGCAGAGGGAGAAGCAGGCTCCATGCACCGGGAGCCCGACGTGGGATTCGATCCCGGGTCTCCAGGATCGCGCCCTGGGCCAAAGGCAGGCGCCAAACCGCTGCGCCACCCAGGGATCCCTTCCATAGCATTCTGTAAGATAGTATGCCTCTTACTGTGCCCATAACACTTACCACTCCCTCTGATATTATTATATACCATGTCAGTCTAGAGAAATAAATTCGAGTGAATTCACTTTTGTGTCACTGTATCACCCGGCCCACAGGTACTCAAATAAAAGGAAATGGAAACAAATTGCTGATCACCACAATAAATACCAACACTGAGACATGCCTAGGACAAGCAAGGGACTAAAAGAAGTCAGAAGAGACACAGCTTCTTTGGTCTTTCTTATTTCCACAGGACACTGTAATACTTCACAGGTCCCTGGAGCTAGCCAGCTTTTCCCACAGGGTCTCCTCACCCCTACCCTACTCGTCCCTTGCTTCTAGCCCTGATTCCTGGGTCCTTCTCATTGAGAAAGTCCAACAGACCCTTTGAATTGGCTTCTATTTTGTTTGCTCTCCCTAGTGCCATCCTGTTGTGGACAAAAAGGAAGCACGCCAACATGAGCCCAGCCACTGACCAAGGAAAACATTTCCCAGCTTCCAGATGAATATGGCTCCCTTCCCGTGGGTCTTACCTTCCAGAGCCAAGTCTCTAATCCTGGGGAGTAAATGTTTTGTTGCCTCACTCTGTTCAGTTCAGAAGAGGTTTTTGTCAGCAGGGACCAGAGAGAGAGAGAGGGCTGAGGTCTCTGCTACACTGCCTGTCCTCTGGTCCCAGCAGTCCTCCCGAGTTGGCACAGAAGCTCTGGCAGACACTGCCATCTCTTGCTTTTGGAAGACGAGCTGCTCATAGATTGTGACATCATTGGTCCGGGAAAGTTTTCCGTTTGGAGTACTTTCCATCCAGGTGGTAAAGCAAACATCTGGTCACACAGTTCCCTTTTTCCCTGCTAGCCACTCCACTCAGGGATTCCAGAGGACAGACATAGAGCTCTTATAGAGATGTGTCTCACCAGGATATCCAGATCATTCTCTCATATGAGATTGGCAATGGCATTTGCAAACACAGATGTTGCTTATTTTGAACTCTGTATCTAGTTCTTTCAAGAAAAGAAGAATGCTCAGTGATGATGTTGGGTGTTTTATCAAAAAGGCACCTTCACTAAAAATTGCATTGGACTTCTATTTAGGAAAAAACTGATCATTACAGTCTACATAGAAAAACCTCCAAAGAGGGTTATATATGATATAGCTTTTGTATTAAGTATTTGATTATGCATATATTTAAAAATATCTATGTAAAATAATTCCAGAGGGGTGCCTAGGTGGCTCAGTCAATTAAGCATCTGCCTTTGGCTCAGGTCACGATCCCAAGTTCCTGGGATTGAGCCCCACATCAAGGTCCCTGCTCGGTGGGAAGTCTGTTTCTCTCTCTCTCTCCCTTTGCTGCTCCCCGTTTGTGCTTGCTCATTCTCTGTCAAATAAATAAAATCTTTAAAAAATAATAATTCTGGAGCACTCACTTTCATTTGCTTTATTCTTGTTTTTAGGTATTTCTTGAGACATGAAATGGGATTAGAACCCCAATTTGTAACAAAACCTACAAAAACAAGGAATCAAATGATAATGGCTCAATGTGTGAATCAAGAATCCATGTTCTTAAAAAAAAAAAAAAAGAACCAATGTTCTTAGCTGTATAGGGTCACCTGAGTGGCAAAAAAAAAAAAAAAAAAAAAAAGAAGGCTTTCCCACATCTTCATCTTAAAACACCAACAGTTCCTAGAACTAGTGTCCATTCCTGTATCATTGTGCATAAAGCAGCAGCTGAATAAAGATTGGTTTAAGTAATTCATACTTAGTTTCTCATAATACAAAATCTGATAACTTTGAAAATAATCATTTATTATGTTATCCATTCAATAGAAATACAGTTCATTATTTAAAATACTTATAAGCCTACAAATAGAAATATTAAATTTCATTTGAAAACAGGTCATTCAAGTTGTTATAATAGTTTATTAGAAATTTGAACACAAGAGTAGATTTAAGGTCTAATTCTCAAACTACCAAACAACTCAAATATGAGAAAATTAGCCACAATAAAAAAAACCCACAACTACTATCTGGAGAAAATACATCAGAAGGCCAATTACAAATGATGTACACAGTGGTGGTGGAAAGCAGAAAAGACCAACACCCTTGCCTAGACACAAAAAATTTTTATTCTCGCTTCCAGCTAACCCAACTCTACCCACTCCTTCATTCAAACTTTTACTGAGTGCCTATCAGAGATTAAAATAATGACAAAATAGGATGACACCTAACCTTAAGATGTGGCTGATCAAGTGCATGCACAGAGGAATATCATTCGGAAGAAAGAAAGGAAAGAAAAGAAAGAAAGGAAAGAAAGGAAAGGAAAGGAAAGGAAAGGAAAGGAAAGGAAAGGAAAGGAAAGGAAAGGAAAGGAAAGGAAAGGAAAGGAAAGGAAAGAAGGAAGGAAGGAAGGAAGGAAGGAAGGAAGGAAGGAAGGAAGGAAGAAAGAAAGAAAGAAAGAAAGAAAGAAAGAAAGAAAGAGAGAGGGAAAAGGAAAAGAGAAAGAAATCTTACCATTTGCAATAACATGAATAAGATGGATGGATGAAAAGGGTATTACACTGAGTGAAATAAGTCAGAAAAAAGGAAAAGACCACATGATTTCACTTATTTTATTTTACTAAAGTTTTTTTTATTTTTAAGTAACACTTGGGGCTCAAGATCAAGAGTTGCATGCTCCACTGACCGAGCCAGTCAGGCACCACTTCATTTATTTTATTTTTAAAGATTTTATTTTTTAAGTAACTCTACACCCAACATGGGGCTCGAACATACAACCCCAAGATCAAAAGTCACATGCTCCACCAACTGAGCCAGCAGGCAGCCTTCCTATGATTTCACCTATATGTGGAATCTAGAAATAGCATAAATAAAAAACACACACACACACACACACACAACAAAAATAGACTCTCAAATATAGAGAACTGGTGGTTGCCAGAGGGGTTGAAGTGGAGAGATGGGTAAAATAAAGAGGATTAAGAGGCACAGACTTATTCATTTTATAAATGTCACAGAGACGAAACATATAGCATAGGAATAGAGTCAACAACATTGTAATAATATTGTATAGTGACAGATGACTACACTTATCATGGTGAGTAATGGATAATGTATAGAACTGTCAAATCAACATGTACAATGAAACTAATCTAATATTGTATGCTAATTATACTTCAATAAAAATAATAAGATTCTATCTATCCCTAAGAAGTTCACAATCTTTTGAATTAGAATGTGACATCTAGAAAGTCACTAAAGTACCCTTTGTGTCCTTCTGTCTAAATGTGAATAGTAATGCCTGTCCCCATTTCACAAATGGAAGTACAAATGTAATGAGAAAGCATCATGATATAGTTAAGTGACAATAAATATAGATAGGCTTTTGTCTTTTGACTTCGCAAAACTGTAAATGTGATACTGGTTTTCTTACCAAATAAATGGAGGAACCTATCATTTCAGACATGCACACCATTTAATCCACCTCATGAGACATTCGTTCCTGTCAGATATAGCTAAGACATTCTGTTAAGTCCATCAAAAAAGTGATTTCAGACCCTAGAATTCATTATCTCCATAAGATCATGCTGTGGGAGTAAGAGGGGATTTTCACACTGCACTGCAGTTTTCTCTAATGGTAAATCTCTAAACAAAACTTGTGTCTGCCTGCATGCACCCCGATCTTTATACCAGCAATGTCCACAATAGCCAAACTGTGGAAGGAGCCTCGGTGTCCATCGACAGATGAATGGATAAAGAAGATGTGGTTTATGTATACAATGGAATATTACTCAGCCATTAGAAATGACAAATACCCACCATTTGCTTCAACGTGGATGGATCTGGAGGGTATTATGCTGAGTGAAGTAAGTCAATCGGAGAAGAACAAACATTATATGGTCTCATTCATTTGGGGAATATAAATAATAGTGAAAGGGAATATAAGGGAAGGGAGAAGAAATGTGTGGGAAGTATCAGAAAGGGAGACAGAACATAAAGACTCCTAACTCTGGGAAATGAACTAGGGGTTCGTTACAGTTACAATCAGTATTTTACACAAACTAAAATGATGAATGTCCCAAACTACACAGGTCTTCCTCAGAAATTATGACATGGGCACCATCTGAGAATTGCTACACCCACCAAATTAAGACAGCCAGAATGGTACTCTCTGAATTCTGAATGCACCAGTAGTGCTTCACTTTCTCCCTTACCAAATTCCACAAATAGATTACCATGTTTTAGCTTTACTAATTCACATCTCTCAGTGAATACAGTAACATTTTATTGAGTATTTTGGGAAAGAGCCATTTCAAGAATTCTTGTACAGCAGTGAAGCTAAAGAAAAACAGGCAATAGTTGTAAACTACTGTAACAATATGCCATGGCCCTGATGTTTCTGCTAAACGTGAGATTAAAGAAAGCAAATAATAAAATAGGTAGAAGATATATGTTTCTGCAAATCTTCTTGCACTATTAGGGAAGAATCAGTATTTTTTTAAGACATGCTTTATCTAAAACAGTAACAGAAATTTTCTTTCATTACCCTGCGCAGCACTGAAGACAGTTCAAAACTCTAGAAAAGTGTGAACTCAGTAATGATATGGTCATATAGTAACTTGTGCAATTATTGTGCCAATTACCTACCATTTGCCAAGGTGAGCTAATCGCTAAAGTGAAAGAATTTCCTTATAGAAACTATTAACATATCAAGTCTGTTTATTAAAAGTCTTAATTTTCAGAGACATAAAAATTATATTTCTACATACCTTCCATGTGTGATTATACACTATTTTAAAAAAAAATCTTTATATACATTATTCTCACCTAACTTTCACAAAAAATCCATTTTTGGGTGGCACAGTGAAAACTGCTAGAAATATGCAAGTAGCTTGTTTAAGCCAAAATTTACTTACATAACTTGAGCAATAAACATAGTTTATCAAGCGGCAAAGTCAGGATTAAAATCTAGGTTTCCTATTATTCCAGAAAGTTAATAACACCAGTAATAAAAGTCTGAATTTACTAAAAAACATGAAGAAAAATACTGCCAAACCAAAATCTAATCATGTTCTGTTTATAAGGTAAATTATAAGAGTAGGATGATAATTCTGGTGAGCAGAACTGTATCTTATTAAAAAAAAAAAAAAACACCTCAGGGCACTTGGGTAGCTCAGTCAATTAAGCATCTGCCTTTGGTTCAGGTCATATTCCCAAAGTCTTGGGATTGAGCCCCATATTGGGCTCCCTGCTCAGTGTGGAGTCTGCTTCTCCCTCTCCCTCTGCTCATGCTGTCACTCACTCACTCACTCTCTCAAATAAATAAAATCTTAAAAAACAAAACAAAACAAAAAAAAAAAACCCCTACCTCATTACTCTGCAGTTAACTTGTCATTCCTAACCATCCCAAATAAAGGTGAGAATGTATAAGTTAATTTTAAAAAGATTCAGAAAAGTCAGTGTCAAATAGTCTTAGCATAAAAGTGTATGCAGTGACTCCTAAGAAAATCTTTTAAGGGCTCACTTATAACCTATTTACTGTGGCCATTTCGTTTCTCTCAGTCCCAAAAGACTAACAGCTGCAAAGATAATCGACACCACAGACAAATGCAAGTGAGCAACAGAACAGCCTAAGAGATGGAGGAAGTTTGGCCAACTCAGAAGAGGCAATGGACACAGAATCCCCAAAAATCCTCAAAGTAAAATAACTATAGTGACAATCTCAAGTCAAGAAAATTAAACTGCCTTCAGTGAAATCTTTTGAGGGCAAAAAAACTGTATAAGACAGAAAAGCTTTCTGTCAAAACTACTTTGAATTATTCTTAGTACTTACAATAGAAAGTCTAAATTATCTGGAAAATTCTCTCATGTTAGATACATATGCATTTAGGCATTGTGCATTTATTAATCTATTTCATCCAGAATCCTGCAAATATTTTTAAATGTTTTCTCAAAACATTAAATAATGTTTATCTTAAATGTTATCCAAGGAAGCCGTTAACTAGAATTCACAAGGATGACCACTGAGGATTTTGGTTCCAAGATACAAACCTACTGCAGCATGAAACTGAGATAAAGCATCAGCTAGCTGTCCAGCTGCAAGTAATTTCTTGCCCAATTCAAGATGTTTCTCAACATCTGCATTCACTCCACATTCAGCACCTAAAAACAACAACAAAAATAAGTTAACTTTCCATGACCAAGATTTAGTTGTGAAGAATAAAATATTTAAAATATGCGGTGCCTTGGTGGCTCAGTTGGTTAAGTGTCTGCCTTTGGCTCAGGTCATGATCCCAGGGTCCTGGGGCTGGGGCTCTCTGCTCAACAGGGAGTCTGCTTCTCCCTATCCCTCTGTTCCCCCACTGTGCTCATGCATTCTCTCTCAAATAAATCTTTAAAATATATATACACACACACACACACACACATATGTATAGTTATTTGCCTCAGGCAGCTCAGATAAGAGTCACAGACGCTAAAGAGTGACACATAAAAGATAACACTAAAACACAGTGCTTCAGTTTATAGAGCATGAGTGACCCCCAAAATATACCCATATCACTGGTCAAAAGAATGTAACCAATCTTCAAAATATAAGGGAAACTGCTTAACACAGTAGTAGTAAAAATATGTCAAATGACAAAATTATAATTGCTATCATAATTGCTTTATTAAACTAGAATTTCATTTTCATGAGTTATCATCAAGTCCACTCTAATATTCAAGTACTTAATGAGCATCTACAAGGCATCGGGCACTATCCTAGGTATTTGGGACAACTGCAAAACAAACAAAAACCTCTGCCACTTATGGCATTGGACATTATGGAGGGAGGAGACATAAGAAATACATAAATTACACAGTCAACAGACACCTAACAAGGTGAAAGGTACCATGGAAAAAAATCAAGCCTTGTGAGGCCATCAGGAGTATTGGGACTTTCAGTATTAAAGAAAGTGGTCAAGAGTGGGCCTCACTAAGAAACTGACATCTGAGCAAAGATTTACTTGAAGCAAAGTGAAGAATCCACCATGCAAATATGTAGAAAAAGAGCTTCTCAAGAAGGATCAGCAAGTGCAGGGGCCCTAAGTCAGAAGCATGCCAGGTTATGTTTCAAAACTGCAGGGAAGCCAGGATGGCTACCCCAGAGCAAACAAGGAAGACAGTAGTATAAGATGAGGTCAAAGAAGTAGAGGGCCTGCCTATGTACAGTCCGGGTAAAATGGAGAGCTACTTAGGAATTGTGAGTACAATAACATGATCTGACTGACTCGGCCAGTTATCAATGTGCTGCTAACCTCTCCGATCTAAATTCATCCTTCAGTACCTGGCTTTAAAAATGAACTAGCTGCGATGCCTGGGTGGCTCAGTGGTTAAGCATCTGCCTTCAGCTCAGGTCACGATCCCGGCCAGGGTCCTGGGATCAAGTCCCGCAACAGGCTCCCCTTAGTGAGCCTGCTTCTCCCTCTCCCTATGTCTCTGTCTATGTCTCTGCCTCTCTCTGTGTGTCTCTCATGAATAAGTAAATAAAATCTTTTAAAGTAAAATAAAAATAGACTGGTTTTTAAGCATTTCTTCTTTATGCTGAGCACAATTGTACACTCTGTCACAGTAAAATGTACTGAAGCGTATTTTCTGGATCTTGTTGCTATCTTTATTTTTTTCTGGCTCCTGCTACATGGTGCATATGGGGAGGATATCCAGTGGTGCCCTATGCTAGCCATATGTCCACAGGTCCAGTTCCTCAGCAAGCCAGCAGTCTTGACTAGGCACTATCTCCCAGTGAGGACACCAAGAGCTCCAAGCTGCATGCATCCCCCCACACACATCCCATACACACAGGCCAACCAACCCAGACTCACCTATACCTGAGGAGGTTATTTCCTGCTTAATATAAACTTCCCTGTTTTAAATTACTCTATGGTCTGTATCTCCTGAATGGAGCCAAACTTATACAGACTATCCTAGCAGACAGACCCACAAAGACAGGTTTTGAGGACTAGTTTGGTCATGCCCTTAAGCTTGAGTACAGTGCTGAGCTCACTGTCAATAAGAAATAAGATATCAGTAATCCAAAGCAGGTATCAGAATCAGAATTAATCAAGATATCATTTGTGGTTGACAATAATCACATGCTAACTGGAAAACCAAGGCTGTTGCACAACAGCAATGAAAGTAGTGATGAAGGTAAGGATTGTGATGTGGAGGGATTCTTTTGGGGGGGGGGCAGGGATTCTTTTGAGTGCACTAGAGCACTTACTGAGAGAAAAAACCAGCTCAGCTCAAACCCTCACCAAGTCTCCCACTGTGAACTTCCAGGGCAACCCTAAAACAATCTCTTATTTTTGGTAGCCACAGAGCTGATTTAGCTGAAAACCAAATACAAAATTTAATTTTGTGTGTAGAAGGGTGCATATGAAAACTAAGAAGCCAAAGCATTTCTCTCTTACAGTGAACATGATGTTAAGCTATTCAGGATGCTAAACAGACACTGTAGGAAAAAAAAAATCACAACAGTCATCACTTGGGAAGGTGGGAGAAAGGACAGACTGGGAAGGGGCAGGAGAGAAATTTATGGGGTGATGCTAATGTTCTAATCTTGATAGAGGTATGGGGTACACTGGGATGTGCAATACTCAAAACTTAGCAAATAGATACTTAAACATAGACAGTTTAGGGGCACCTGGGTAGCTCAGTCAGTTAAGAGTCGAGCTGGTCTCGGGTTGTGGTCCCAGGATCTGGCATCCCCCTGATCAGCAGGGAGTCTACTTCTCCCTCTGCCCCTCACCCTGCTCATGCTCTCTCTCTCTCTCTCTCTCTTGCTCTAATAAATTAATTAAATCTTTGTTTAAAAAAATATGGATAGTTTATCATATATAAATTTTATAGCAAAAAAAAGCTGTTGGTGATATGCATATTAAAGTGTTTAGAGGAATGTGTACTGGTATTATTTTGATTTTTTTTTCTTAAGATTTTATTTCTTTGACAGAGTGAGAGAGTGGCAGGCAGAGTGGCAGGTAGAGGGAGAGAGAGAAGCAGGCTCTTCACCCAGCAGGGAGCCCAATGCAGAGCTCACTCCCAGGACCCCAGTATCATGATCTGAGGAAGTCAGACGCTTAACTGAGCCACCAAAGCACCCCTGAAATGTATTTTTTTTTTAAGATTTTTTTTTAATTTATTTATTCATGAGAGACACAAACAGGCAGAAAAATAGGCAGAGGGAGAAGCAGGCTCCCCATAGGGAGCCCAATGTGGGACTCAATCCTGGGTCCCAGGGATCATGCCCTGAGCCGAAGGCAGGCGCTCAACCACTGAGCCACCCGAGCATCCCTGTATTTTTAAAAAAGAATTAGCGGATAGATAAAGGCCAGATGGATATGTATTAAAACCAAGTATGGTAATTGTACTAATGGTAGAATGTGGGTGATGGATACAGGAATGTACACTAAAAAATTCTTCCAACTTTTGTGAAATGTTTAATGAAAAAAATTTAGGAAAATATGTAATACAGTGTTATGATGGGGGGAATAAACACAAGATGCTGTAAGGGCACAAGTTAGGGTACCTAACACCTAAAGTTAAATAAAATTTAAGGGATCCCTGGGTGGCGCAGCGGTTTAGCGCCTGCCTTTGGCCCAGGGCGCGATCCTGGAGGCCCAGGGCGCGATCCTGGAGACCCAGGATCGAATCCCACGTCGGGCTCCCGGTGCATGGAGCCTGCTTCTCCCTCTGCCTGTGTCTCTGCCTCTCTCTTTCTCTCTGTGTGACTATCATAAATAAATAAAAATTAAAAATTAAAAATTAAAAAAATAAAAAAATAAAATAAAATTTAAAATGCAATTTCTCAGTCACACTAGTCACAGTTTAAGTGCTTGAAAGCTAGTGGATAGTACATGAAACATTGCAAACAATACAGCATATTTCATCATAAAAGTTCTATTGGACAACACTGAGGGCGTTTCCTAAGGTCTCACCTGAAACCTGAAGGAAAAATGAGAATATCGTCAATGTGAAAAGGCCTATAGGGAAAAAACCAACACTCCAAACACAAAGAACTTCGCATTAAAATGCCCAGAAGTAAGAGAATCAATGGGGCTTTCAGAGAAATTAAAATCTTAACATTTAGGTAACCCTCCTCTGTCATGATTTCATTATTCTGGAATGGTTCGATTTAAGTGCTTGGTGAGTGTCATAAACAGCCAGAAGGGAAGAGGGAAACCATAAGGTGTCTGGTACAATAATCCAGGTGACATCATGGTGATCTGACTGTGGAGTAGCCGTGGAAATAGAGAACAGATTGCTCAGAGAAATATGAGAGAGAAAGAAGACTACACATGGCTTACAGTGACTAACTGGATGTGGAAGCCAAGTGAAGAAAGAACCAGAATCCAGGATGCCAGCCACAACTATGTGAACAACTCTGTGTGCCATTTTAGTCATCAAAAGCAACTGGATTCTCTTCCTCTACTACAGCAGAGAGCTGGAAGAAATTCACTTTATCTTGTTGTTATTTGCCCTACTAAGCAAAGTAGCCTTTTCTGTGTTCCTAATTTCTGTACAGTGTCTTATTTCCTAAGGTGCCTGATGGACCCCTCCACAAGAGAAAGGCAAGGGGAGGGAGGTAAGGAGAGCCCCCAAAAACAGGCTCCTGCAGAGCCCTGTTTGTTTGGGGCAACAATGTAAAAATGTCTAACCTATTTAAGAGTGTGTGGGTAACATTTAGAGAAATTATTTGGAGTTTTCAATGGGCTGGGAAAGCATTAGCTTTTCCTTTTAAAATGAGAATAGAGGCTCTTGTTCTGAAAATTCACTATGCAATTCAGAAACTAGTTATATTCTGATAATAAGGGTCACCTAATTCCACACCATGGCCCAAACACAGCCTGCTTTGCATAATGAAGATTATGGAAACCAATGTATTTCATTAAACAAATGATACTAAATATATACTATGTGTAAAACTGTGGCCATAACAGAGATGAATAGGATGGTCTTTTCCAAAGAAGCAATGAGAAGAATCCCCTAAGCTTTAGCCATTTAGGAGACCACCCTCTGGAAGAAGTCCGGCTGTTTTTAAACATTACACTGGCATCTCTGCCACGTACTGAAGTATTTATAGAATATAAAATATGAAGAATAGGATTGACTTCAAAATAATCTTG